AAATGGTAATTCACTTTAAATTTTTCATCCACAGATGTCCCCACTGGGGACATCTCACACACCATGTTAGATGAAGTCAAACAAAATATTTCGTATACTTTTACAAGATCAGCATCTCCTAAAAGTTTGGAAAGATCAGACTTTTACTTTGAGAGATAGGTTTCTGTAGGGAGAGGCTTAAGTGAATTACCATTTACCGTTCAAATTACTGTTCTTTTAAACGGGAAGAATTTGTAAAGTAAATTTTTTTTGTTTAGAATTCCAAAAGCTTTTTAACTTTTCTTTTGATTAGTCGGATTTATCGGCGTGAATTTCACATACATTTAATGACAAATTATAAAACTGATAAAAATATTAAAACTTGGAATAAATCATACAGATAGTTATATAAAAGTTTTTTTGCCCGTAGTTTTATGTGAAAAATTTTGCGCACACGTTTTAACACCTACACTCATCCTTCGTGTTTATATAACTCCTTCCACTGTAGAGTGTACGAGAAAAAACAATCATTTATGATCGGATTATACGTTAGCTGTGCGTAATTATATTTTAGTTTCTACATTTTTATCCTACATTTTATGGATTCAATCTAAAATGAAAAAGATAAGAAAATGTACGTAATGGAATGAGATGTATAGTATGAGTAACTTTTCTGTCAATGGTAGTTCCATTTCTGATATAACTCCGGCTTCATACGTATTGTATATCGTTGTTTTAATCAATACTTGCGTTAGCATGATCATCTCTTGTCTATTCTTATCCATGGTTGCTTATAATTATCGACAATTAAAGCAGAAAATTCCAATTTTGCTCAGTTGTAACACTTGTGTGGCCGTATTATTTACATCAATAGCACTCAGTTCTATATGCGCGTCAAATTTAAATCGATCACCGAATAGTCGATGGTGTTTAATTGCCGGTTATTTAAATCATACATTCAATAGTTCAATTTATTACGCCTATACGTTACAAGCATTCTATCGTCTTTGTCGAATTATATTCAACAGTACAGCAGTATTTAAAAAAAAAAAAACTTATTCAATATTGATCTGTATTCAATGGTCATTTTCCCTATTAACGATGTCAACTGCCCTAATTTGTAACTGGATTGTTTTTCTATCATCGGAATTCTATTGCCAGGTAATATATTCTAATTTAGTGGGAGCATTATATCTTGGCTTGCTTCTGTATCAAATACCAATGGCATCTATGGGCAGTATGTACGTATGGATAGCTCGATTTATTCGTCAATCAGCGCGAACAGCAAGACAGCAACAGAAACGTGATCTAATAATTATTAAACGTATGTTTACCGTTGTTGGTGTACTGACTCTTATGGGTGTACCACCCATCGTTTTCTTCATGATATGGCTTATAACCGGTCACGTTTTCTCAATCAGTTACGCTATTCAATGGATGACATTCTCAATTACTCTGATATTGATCAATATCGTGTTAATTGGTTTGACGCCACAACTGAAAGCAAAATTAAAGCATCAAATTATTCCCATCGTATGCTGTATCAATATATTGAAAATCACCTACGAAATGTGAGGATTTTTTGTAGCGATTTAAAAGCGGTCTAGATATCGTCGCTAGATATATCAAAATGTCAATAATAATGACAAGAAAAAGACTGGGAAAGTAAACCGTTTGACTAACGATGACCATACAGGATAATTCAAGGTGATTAAATGTCAAGATTTTAGTTTGAAAATTAGTAGTGCGGGATTCATCAATTTCTTATCTTCCTTAAACGTTATTCTGATTTTTGTTTACCCGATCTTGAAGCTTTTTCATCTTTATTGACTATGCTTCTTCGAGCTGTTTGACCGTTTTATCATATGTAATTTTTGCTCTGATTCGACAGTTTTTTTTTACAGAAGTAGCATAGAACTTATTTAGTATATTCTGAAGACCTCTTAGGTCATTTGAAAACTAAGTTATCACTTTTTATTGTCATTAATTTGTCTAATTTAAAATTTCTTTCTTTAAATTGATGTCGCAGGCTAGTCATCAGACGAACATAATCAATTTTCAAATCAATAAATAATACGACAATCATGTTAAATTATCGAAAACCATCTTCAGCATCTATGTACCACCCCCACACTTTGTTCACAAGAGTAGCGAACTTTCGTAACAAACTTTGTAACATATCTAAGTTACAACGTTCGTCACAATCCCAAACTACTGGACTACTCCGATTTTGGCTAGAACTGCTTGCACTTGGACTACTTCAGTTTGGACTGCTGCATTGTAGACTACCTCAAACTGAACTGCTCCCAAACGCAACAGAGCTTGATTTTGATACTTTGACTTTGGAAAAAGCCTTCAAAAGGGTTTTACGCGTTTCGCTAAGAAAATGCGATGTTTGTAAGCAAAAAAAGCAAGAAGTTATTACTCCAATTTGCACTGCTACAGTTTGCAGTACTGCAGTTTGGACTACTCCAGTTTGCACTACAACAAGTGTCGACAATTCCAAAACACCCATATTTCAACTAAGTTTTTAACGCTGATTCCTTAAATGACTTTGTTTTTGTCGGAAAGTTGAAAATTTTGATAGAGCAAACCACAAAATACGAACCCGATGAGCTCTATTCAACCATGCTAAAAAGAAGAAGGAAAAGTTGGCAATGGACGAAAAAGCAAACTTCAGGCTTACGCTAGTCTTTTTCATAAGCTCTGCGTAAAACTGGTAGGGTTTGGGTCCGAAAGCTGAGGCCTGCAGCAAGGCCTGATCTTATGATAACAAAGAGCTGCGACACATTTTAACTGTCTACCTGCGACATGCACGGTGTTTTTGTAATCGGTGTTGCTTGATACTACATTTTATTAAGATCATAACATAATCTCGGAATAATCAACAGAAACTGCTAAAGAAGAGATCGACCTTGTTTCTTTCATACATCAACATAATAATTTCTATCTACTATTTCGCACATTAATCTTTCTGTAATATCTACTAACCTACGATGCAAAAGTAATTACGGAAATGTCGGAGTCTGGTTCTCCGGCTTGGTACATCGTAGAAAGTTCATTCTTTTTCTGGTTGAAAGAGCAAAGTTTGAACTTCAAAAAATATAGAAAACAAAATTTTTGGAATTGACTTTGAGGAAGAAAAAAGTTCGATACTAAACGTCTCTAAAACAGCTCTTGCAACATAATTTTTTCTTTATTTTTTTCCTAGAGTCTGAAGAAAAATGTTTTTTTGAAAACCAAATAGATGAGAAGGTTGCCCGTGCAAAACTCTATCGACTTCACAAATGTAGAATGTTTCTCAGTAATTCTTTAAGGGTAAATAAAGCG